CTGGTCCCCGAAGCTGGGATTCTTAAAGGCCGACGACCAGACTCGAGATTCTGCAAGGCAGAAGATCCTCCTCACCATGGGGGAGAATGAAGCAGGCAACGGTGGACAGGGTAGAAGGGGGGAGAGGAGGAAGCGAGGGAAAAGTGGAAAGCGCTAACGGGTCGTCGGTCTTTAACTGATCTTTTCGTTTTCCTTGAGAATAAGACTATGCACCACTTCGTGCCTCGCTTCTAATATACCTACGAATGTGAGCGGCACAGGCGTGGCCCGCCCACGGTAATCTAGTTTGTCACAATTTTCCTTTAAAGCTTCTTGAATGTTCACTCCTTCTTGCCTTTTTCTTTTTACTGTCTTAAAGGAAAATATTCGGCATAAATCAGGAGAGATAAAAAAGCATGATATATTTTTAAATAGTCAGGTTAATTTTATATAAGCCAGATTTATTTGATTTGAATAAGATTATTTAATTTAAATCACTGTAGCTAAAGATAGACATTGTTTGCCACTAGAGGCATTTTTCAGCTTGGCAGATTGATTGGTGAGTTCGTCTTATTACTGATACAAAATTAACAAGGCGGAAGAAATAATCACTGTAAATATAAAGTACGGTTTAATTAACTTTTTATTGATGAAATCTCCGCCATAGTAAAACAAGAACAGCTTGAATTTTTAGTTAGGTTAAAAGCTTTATTTTATTTTCATATCGTGTTCTGACTCGGTTGTAGGAGGGCATTACCTTTTAATTTTTTTTTCTTTTGTGTTCTGATTTTGTGCTAATGGGGCGTTACTTAGCTGACGAAGTAGAAGGTAGACATCAAGCTCAACGCTCCAATTTTCTCAGAAGAGCACTTCTTTTTTGCTGATGTGCAGCCTGAAATAAATATTTCTTGCTTGGTAATAATGTTATATAATTTTTTTTTTAAGAAGTGCACATGAGAAACACTAAATGATCGAAAAACGGTGAATGAAAATATTTTGGGATTATTTTTGCGCGAAAGGTTTGATTTAATCATCATACAAAAACTGGCCTGATTTAAATCACGATTTATATCAGAACTTAAATTACGATTTAGGCAATATTCAGTTTTATTCTCCGTTCTGATTCTTGCTCTATACTTTAAGGAAAATAACACTGTTCGTTTACGCAGCTCGTGGTGGTGTGCCGCATATGCGGAAGTATATTTTTTCAGAGTTACATGTCAATAACATGACAGCCCACAGTTGCGCACTCATGACAACTGTTGTGAACTACTTTCACAAAAGTGAAGTGTCCGTTGTCCAAGTTCGCGCTACAAGAAAGCACCTTGCCATGTCATCCTAGTCCTGGGGACAAATATCGCCGAGAGGTTGTTTTCCAGCGCCGCGGTGTCACCTGGAACTGCAGATTGCGGATTATGTTCGGTGGGAAGAAGATTCCTTGGTATTTCCGGTACGAACCCACTACTCTGCTCATCGAGGGATTATGCTTGAATCGTCGACATTATTGAACCGCCATTCCTCGTATCGAAATCTGTTTTTTTTTTTATGTGGCGTGACTAACTAACACATTTCTGCCTCCGGTATGGGCCCGTCCTTGGCACATATAATTAAATTTAAAAACGAATGAATGGGCAGAGGTAAAGCCTCTAACTCTTGAAGTAGCATAGTTAGCATTCGCTATCATCTTACGCTCCAGGTCTCTAACTGTAAAACTAAAAAAAAGAAGAAATACATTAAAAAAAAAAAAACACCGGAGGATTTTTGTTGGAGAGTGCAAAATGTATTGCGCACATTGGTCGGGATGTGTAAAAATTAAATCACCGTTACTTTACAAGGCAGCTCATTACAGTCACTGGAAGCTGAAGAGGTGCATGCTTCTTGCTTTGTGATGCAGCTTTGTTATGCATCAGTGAACAAAGCTGCTTTGTGATTCGTTCTTAGGGGGATCGGTGGCCCAGTGCGCTAGAGAACATACCCGAGCCGTAGAGCGAAATCTCGCGCTGCACAGGCCAGGGACCCTGGGTTCCATCCCCATCACTGCTCGTTTCGATCTGGATGAGCATCGCATGCCGAAGTGCGGTCGTGTATCACTACTGCGTGATGCACGTTAAGACCCCAGTCTAGCGGTTGTATACTGCACCGGTTAGATTGCTCATCTACAGCTGAGACACCAGACGCCCATTGCGGCTGACTAACTTCCTTTCAGCTGTAGAAACATACACACAACACACAATTATTATTGAGTCGTTATTCTGGGTCCTTATGCGCTAATACTGCAAATCTCACTGGCTAGACAGTGATATAGAGTTGTAGTGGGTCCTTCTGGTAACACGTTACCCGATATTCAGCCGACACCTTTATGCGCGCATCGTTTCGTTATTGGGTATCGTTATCGGAGGTATATATTAGGGAGTTTTAGGGAACCGTTTTTGCACATCGGATACGATAGAAAGGGCCCTCCGGTACGAACTGCGCATCTGGAGGGCCCATCGCACTGTATCGGATGTGCAAAAACGGTTCCCTACAACTCTCTATTAGCGAGATTTAGGCAGTCTTGTACACGTTACTAAAAAAAAGTAATCGATTACAATTACTATTACTCTTGGCTAAAAAGTATTCGATTTGATTACTTGATTACTCGACGGCAAAAGTAATTGGCCATTACTTAAAGAAGTAATCGTTATTTTTCCGATTACTTTATTGTGTGAGAACACATCTTTAGCGCTCATAACAATGAACTACTTCCAACCTATATTTCACATTTGCACAAGTATTGAAGAAGAAAAACTGGCTCCCTCTTCGTGGTCGTGGCACCTTCACAATGCAGACACAAGCATAGAGCTCGTTTGAAGACGTTTAATGATTTGGGCGTTCGCCAGTTTGTGTGTCTGGGGGGGAGGGGGGAGCGGAGAGGGTTCTAGATCTTGTTAAGCTTGAGCAAGGGTTGTCGCTCAAAGTTTGCGTCGCTCATTTTATTATTCACATGTAGATGAGCTCGCATGTTATACAAAAGAGCAGCAGCTCCATGATTTCAAACGGATCATGTGTAGTATTCATTAGCGGAAGAGATCGCCCCGACCACTTTACAACTCGAAACATTGCTTGTCACAAAGACCACGTAGAGGAAATGAGGAAATATTTCAACTGCCTTTGTTATATTTTGCATCCGCTTTAGGCATTCTTCGGTTCTGGTTCTCCTACGGGCTACGAGTAGGTACCCTAAGCAGGATTTTTTTATTTTTTTTTATTTCTGTGTGTGTGTGCGTGAGGGGTCCAGTTTGAACGAAGGACTCACAAAGCTACATTCTGCTCCCTCAAACTTCGCCCTGAAGGGCCTTTGTTACGCACTGTGGCTTTCCTGGGGCTTTCCACTCGCAGTCCCCAACTCAAAAAAAAAAAGAAAAAAAAAAAAGGGAAATTTCACAGAAACTGTACATAGAAAGAGATTAACCTCTTTTCCTACAGCTCCGCAAAAATCTTTTTCTCCGTTCGAAAAAAACAAAAAAAGCAAATTTCATTTTTGTCATTTCATAAAAAAAAAAAGGCGTGTGCCCGGGGGGGGGGGGGGGGGGGGGGGGGGTCGTGGACGAATTGTAACGGTTACAAGTAATTTTATTACTTCAAAAAGTAATCAGATTACTCTTGTGATTACTGCCTAGTAAAAGAAAACAGCTGATTACAAAATTACTCCAAAAAGTAATCGATTACAAGTAATTTGATTACTTGTAATGCGTACGGTACAAGTCTGGTTTTAGGGAACCGTTTTTGCACGTCAGATATGTTAGGAAGGGCCCTACAGTAGGAACTGCGCATGTGCTATCGCTAAAGACTCGTATATGCGCAGTTTCACCCGGAGGGCCCATCGTATACCTTATCGGATGTGCAAAAACGGTTCCCTACAACTCCCTATTAACGATCTACTAAAGCTCACTAATGAGATGCTTGGGATTTGCGACGCCCTGCGTTTCTTGAGCCGCCAGTTACTATAGTCTCCTCAGCGTTTCTGCTCGGTATTTTGTCCTGTTCCTGGAGCACAAGCCCTCTAGAATACGGATGGCTCTCCGGTCGGAACACCATGGTATATATACCCAATCACAATCGAACCATGGACCCCTACAGAATTCAGGGCACAATGCCTGCTCAACTTTGAGTTTGAATGTCGTCAAGTGCATGCACACACATTCCTCAAGAGTTGCGACAAGCAGATTTTCGATGACCATAAGCACTTGATCAGTAGTAAATATAATTTTTTTTGTATACATCACTTCATTGACGACCGAGGTTCGGAGGGACGCAGTACAGTGCTTTGGCTCAAGAGGGAGCTGTGAACGCTTTGCTATCAAATGCGGGGATAGTGGGTGATCTTCAGCTTACGGGCTTAGCACTCGACTCCCAGGCTAAGGTGTAACACCGATTACGAAGGTGCGTATAGCTCTTGACAAATACTGTGCGATATGGAAGGTTTGTGCTGCGTGTGCAAAATAAAGGGTGGTCACTGCTGAGCTCTCCACCAGAAATGAAGGGGTAGGTGGAGAACAGCTAAGATTTTCTGAAATCGGTTGAAGGTTTGTAACGTCATTATGATATACACGAGTCATCGCACTGTAATATATGAAAAACGGTATTTGAATAAAGCAATGAACATCCGTATGAGCTAAATTAATTGACATGACCTTACCTTGACACCCTACTAGCTCAAGCTGTAGGACATTTAACCCCCGTTAATCTGGCGTACATCTCGCTATTTTTCCTGGTAAGTTAGATTCAAGTTGTTTAAGTGAACTCATCAGGACAACATGCTTCGACTTCACAAACGTCTGTTTCAAGTGACATTCTCTCAAATGACACACACGTGCCGACTCCTGTGGCATGAACAGTCATTTTATAATCAATACTCTTAAAGTCTTCGGGAAATGAAAGGGCCAGCGACATTTAAGGCTAATATTCTTACCTTTTATTTTGCCGAGTCTTTCGTTGATTACAGCCTAAAAGAAACGTAAAAAAAGATGCGAGCACAAGTCTGAAGATGCAAACGTATTTATTATTGCTCAAAGCTCAATCAGCGACCTACGACTCGATATCCTTGCTTATTGCTAAAGGTATTGCAACGGATGCCACAAAACCATGGCCGTATTGCAGCCGAAAACGACCTCCAAGCGGAGGCGCAAGCCGACACATTTTGTACTGCTATAGATACACATGAAGATTGAGAATTACTTTATTCCCTTCAGTTTTCCGATGTTAGCCGAATTACTATGCCTTTTAGGTTGTTTGAGCCGGCAAAACTCGCAATAAAATAATTCCTGGAAGATTGAACCCTCTTAATGTAGGAGTTAATCGAACATCCATGCGTCATCTACTACTTCAATTATCCAGCCTCGAAAAAATAAATCGTTGGAATTTGGGGAAAACAATTACTTTCAATGCACATTTTATTGGAGATCCGAAGACCGTTAAAAGCTGGGTCGGCTTGTTAGAATCAGCGTGTTGGCTGAGACTGTGTGAAAGAAAGCACTGCCGAAACTATAGCATGCTCGCGCGCCCTAGGTTTGGCAGGCTTTGTTTCACACAGTCTAACGAAAGTCTATGCTAAGACGCTGATTTCAACAAACTAACCCCGGAATTAAAAAATAAAGAAGAAAAAAACCCATTGTTTAAGTATGGGCGAATAGTCGATTACAACTCGATGAGGCACCGCGACAGGGAGGTTGCACTATCCGGGCGGCGACACTATGGTGCTACAGTCGGTCGACATGTACCGCGCGACATTAAGGTTCGGATCATAAACTAAAAAAAAAAAAATTAAAATAAAAAGAAAAACATTGACTAACTATTGTAGAGGACGATTTTCTTTTTTCAGGGAGGATGAAAAAGCTATGCGTTCAGAAGGGCTCACCAGTGGCTGAATTTAATTGCAGAGGAATAACAAATCCATCATACCAGTGGCGCTGCAACTTGACATTTCCTGTGAATAAAAACTGCTCGACACTCGAATATGTAGACGACGAAAGGGAGTGTTCGCCCGGTGTTCTCACGAACGCCCGGTCTTGCGTGAGCCTAAGATTTTTTTGTTTTTTTATACAATTGTTTTAACTGAGCGCTTAGTTACGCCGAACACGCGCAACGACTCGACATCTTAGAAGTCGCCTTGGCAAATGTTCTTACGGCCAGATTTAAACCAAGATGAAAAAGGTTTCCTCAATTTCACCGTTTTCATTTTAGTTTCTAAAACCCAATACTTTACGCCAGCAATCGTCTAAAATATACATATAAATAATACCTTACCCTAGTGAACATCTCGGCAACCAAAACATTTATAAAACAAAAATACCCGAATGTGCCTTCACGAAGCGTCGGTGGAAAAGTACACGTAAGCCAAAAGGCTCGAATAATCTGTGGCACTGCCATCTCAATCCATATCAGTCAATAAACCGATAATAACGTGCCATGTAACTGCAACATTCCGTCGACTGAGAAGCACATCGAAAGGCAATCGAACACAAGCTAAAAAAAAAAAAAAAAGAACCTAGCAACGCGATTTTGTTTTTCAACTGGCACGGCGTGGCTCTCGAAATGTTTTGGCGAAAGACTGGAACCTTTAAAACAAAGGGAGACGTGGCAGAGACCCACAATGGCGGACTGGCAGCCGAAGGTTCAACGTTCCTGTGCAGGGCGTAGTCCGACACACTCTTGCAGACATTGCGCATGCGCTCTCACTCATAAATACAAAGACACGTTACGAGTCTCTAGGTCTATACACAGCCGCACAAGGGATGCTCTTCTCGACCACTGTCTGATGCGTATTGCCGATTCACGAGAAATATGACCTTAAATAATCTGTATGGCGGGAGAAGAGGTGTCCACGAAGAGTCTTCTAGAGAACGGCACAGCTGTGACCGGAAGAACCTGCAACGACATGATAAATTGTAGTGGTCAGACGTACGCGATAAACCGTTTACGGTCAGAGACTGCTTAAGAAGTGCAGGGCGTGGCCCTTGTTATCACTCTGCAGCCAATGAAATTGCGGCATTAGCCGCCAAGAAGAACGGAGGATAAACCACGAAGCAAGGAGCGCGAAGGTCACAAGCGGCGGCCTGCGTTTCTGAAACTGTCCGGGGCCAAAAAGAAAGCGAAAAAAATCTGCATAGATATAGATGACAGAATGTTAAAATTTGTTGTGATAAAAATTTGCCAGTATGCATGTGTACCGCGAGGCAATTACGAAAATAAAGGCTCCGCTATGAAATGACACTTTGTCCCAATGCGCTAAGCATAAGGCGCCTCGATGGGCTGCTTCTCGTCAGCGCAGCTTGTGGCTAAAATGGGCGACTATGGGCAGGTCATGCCGCCGAATGAGTGCGCGGGCATGAGGGCTGCGTCACAGTTCGGCAGTACACTCGTACGTTCGAGCTCGAGACCGGGTCTAATAACTGCGTCCTCGGACCGCCTCAGAGCTGCCAACATTCCGCGTAAGATGGCGACACCTGTCGAACCAAACTTCACTGCCCGGGCCGTACAGCCTACGCTTATATTTCTGGGCGTTTACACGATTCCGGCGAATCGTCAACTGAAGCAGACGTAAGCATTAAGATGGAGAAAGTGTGGAATGTTCTCATTGTTCAAAAAGAAAATACGTAGGTATGGAACAAGGACGAAATGGTATGGCGTTGATACCGGTGGTAAGAAGATACGCTATATATGGCAAGCTTCCACTGCAGGAACGTCCTTCTATTTCAGTTAAAAGTCAATGCAGGTTTTTTGTTCATTTTTTTTTTTAGGATTAGGATGCTGGCTAAAGAAACAAATCGCGCAAACACCCCAATACATATCTTATATACTCCCGCATATTTATAGCAGTGCAATACTTCCCCAAACTCCGAAATAAAAAAAAAATAAAAAAATTCGGTAAATTTAGAGTCTCCCTCGCCCTTCTTCTCGTTCCCTTTTCGAACCTCCTTGAAGCTAACAGACATATACAAGCGCCATCCCAGACACGCCCGAAAACGCGCAAATGAAAACGGCTCACTCGGACGAAACACCATAGGAACCACGGCCGTACGGAGTTTCAAATCGGATAAAGAGAAATAATGAGCGCGAGAGTGGGAGGAATAGGAAGAGGATGAAAAAGAGGGAGGGGGTGCAGGAACACAATGTGGGATTGCGCTCTCATTAACTCACTTCTCATCTGGCGCGGAGGCGCGGCCCGGGCCCGGCCCCATCAGCCGCCTAAACGACGAGGGGGGGCCCCCTTGCCAGGCGCTACGCCCATTCCCAGTTCGTCGCTTCCCCAACCCTCCCCATCCCCGTCGTCGATCCGCAGCGAGTGCAACGAGGACGGCATTCCGACAGTTTCCGAGGAGCGCCGCACACCAGCGCAGAGCCCCAAGTGCCTCTTCACACGCGAAGTGGTCATTCGCGGCGGCGGCCGTTTCCACAAGAGCCTAACGTTTCCCGCCTTCGTTGTTGCGAACCGCCGCGAATCGCGAAAGGATGTTCCCCTTGAGGAACATATTTTATGGACTTCCATTATGGGCTCTCCCACCCTCCAACTCTTTCCACGTTTCCTTTTTTTTTTTTTTTTCCTATTCCTTTGTTTCGCAGGGCGCTCTCTCCACCCCCCCCCCCCCCTCTTCCGTTTTTGTTTTCACCATTGTCTCTCTGATTTTTGTGGTGCTTAGACTTTTCACTTCCTTTTTATTTCCATTCGTTGTGCAGGGAAGCCCTTCTTCCTTTAATCCCGCCTCCCGTTCGAGCATCCATCTCTTCCGTCCCCCCTGGTCCTTTCCCCCTTTTATCCCACTCAACTACTCCCGTTTCAGCGTTGTTCCATTTTTCCGGCTTATTTCATTCTCTCCTTCGTGCCATTCGGAAACTTTCCATCGTAATCACAACGAAAACCCGAGCCCGAGTTTTGGAAGAAAGACAGCGCGCCGAGGGCGGAGGCGGCGGGGGATCGCGCAGCTCTGCTGGCTGCTTGCTTCTCGAGGGGTTTTAATGAGCTCTCTCGGGCGTATACCGCAGAAACGAACCCAAACTCCGATGCTTCTTTCTCTCTCTCTCCCCGGCTACGGCCACTGTGCGCTTCTTCCGAAATATTGAGGGGAACATAAACTGGAAAGGGTCCAGAACGGTTCGCAATAAGTGTTCCGCCATTTGGAAGTGATGAGCAGAAAGAAAGGCGGGTTTTGCGGCAGACCGCTGACGAGATTCCTCCGAAAATCCTGCGGCACGCATCGATGAGCTAAGCGCGATTGCTTTGCGAGACTATTTACGCAAACGCCGTTAGTCTTAGAAGAAGAAAAAAAAAGAAGTGTCGTAAGGGCGAAGGAATGACTAACGGAATCCCTTTTATTTTAAGTATATGCATAGATTCCTTCGATGCATGAATACATATCTTCTCAAAAGATCCGTCCCCCCCGTTCAGCATCTCTTAGTGGTGCGTATTTCATTACGTGCATTTGGATTTTACTTCTCTAACTCGGCCGACCTCATTCGAATACTGTTACGCAATGGTTTCAAGATTTTGATGTTCTACTTTGTTCAGGTCTTCCTAACATGAAAGTATATATTTGTCTATGGCTATGGCCTCTGAGACGTTAACAAACGGAGGGCGTGGTGCCCCGAGCATTTTATTATCACTATGTAACCAACGAGATTGTGATATGAACCTATAAAAACGCCGAAGAAGAAATCACGGAGGAAAAAAGCATGAACGTGACAAGTAACGCACCCCTCATTTCTGAAGCTGTCACTAACTATATATATTTACATCTGAACAAGCAATTCATAATCATGCGTCCTTGCCATCACGTGCCATACTGCATCATGCATATAGGCCGTTGATAATTTACAGGGCACAGTTAATAGCTTGTGGAAAGACGTATATGACACAGCACATGTCCATACATTCGGTAATATCCGGTGAACCCAAGATACGAGACGAATGTCCTATTAGCGTTTAACACTTCGCGAATTGCACAAATATTAATGTTTGTGTGCTCTGTTTTCCCAACGGTACGTCGGCCGTGGGGTGGCCATTGTGTGAATATTCTACACACGCGGGCAGTTGAAGATGAAGAATTCCTTAAAAGAGGCAGAGTCAGTGACAAATTTGCCCAGAGAGAATACACAATTGACTTTTTCTCCCCCCCCCCCCTTTTCCCTACAACGCTAACAACAACAACAACCCCGAAAAAAGCAGACAGGTTTTTATGTTATTACTATAAGGAACTCGAAAATGGGCTCCTCTGTATGACTTACTGGAGAAGCGAGGTATGTACGGAAGCACCACATTTTCACGTAGCACAATCAAAATAATAAGCAAAAATTTACGGCCTTGAGCGCATAACCTCTACGCAAATATGATTAATCATCGCCCTAGTATCCCTCACCTCGGACGCAGCCAGAACCGCCGTCTCCCCTCGTCTTGCTCTGCCCTCGTCTTGCCAACTCCCACGAAGCGCTCGCCGGTTTCCGAGCAAAGGCACACGTTTCAGCGAAGCTAGAGGTCCAGCAGCACATACACCCACTCCACGGAGGCCACTCACACGAGCCGCCCGTTAAACCTTCGGGAAGTATAAATAACAGAACACCAAAACGAGCGTGCAACCTGCCGCCCAAGGACACCGCAACTACTTGTCGCTCAGCCTGGACAGCGACAACATGGCCAGCTGTTCCTGCCTCCTCTCCAAACCGTTCACCATGTTCTCCATGTTCTTCAGCTCGCTCGACACCGACGACGTGAGCGAATTGTCCGAACTGTTCCCGGCTTCCGAAGACGGCGAGCTGAGGCACTTTTCCAAGGGCGCCGTAGGGGCGTACAGAGTCCGCGTGTCCAGGACCACCGATTCCGGGTACGTCGGCGTGGGAGCCACAATCTGTTGTTGTTGTTGTCCCGAACCGGACGGCGTCGAGGGCGACGAAGGAACCGGGTAAGGCGCGAACCGGGTCTGGTTCTGGCTCTGCTTGAGGAACCGCGACGCTGCGGCGGTGACGTCCGGCGGAAGGCCCGGGTAGCCGGGCCCGCCGAAGAGCTGCTGACTAGCGGCCATCAGGAGTGGAAGACTGGCGTGGGTGGCTGGGTTACCCGGAACCATGCCGGAGAGTTGTCCGGACGTGCCCGAGGGCCTCGGTAGAAAGAAGGACGGCAGGCCGAAGCCCGGTGGGTAGAAGGACGGAGGGTAGAAGTAGGGGAACAGAGCTGCCGCCTGCGGGTGCGGCATGCCGGCCAGTCCGGCCAGGGTGGACATGTCGGTGCCACCGACGAGGCTGCTGGAGGGACTCGGGGAATGCCTCTCGCCGTTAGCCCGAGGTCGGCCGGGCCCGCTGCGCTCTTGGGGCACTGGAAGGAATCGGAGTTCGTGAACACATGAAGGGAATAAAACATACAGGAAAATTCATTGGTGGATACTGAGGGATTGTTTTAGCATGACCCTTGAAAACGCCACACACGCCCCCTTTGGGAAGCGCTAACTCTGACTTATTCACTTTTCTCTTTTGGCTTTCTCTTTTGCTCGCTCTGTTTTTTTTTTTATGCCTCTTTTTGGCCACGTTAAAGGGTCAGCATTAGCGTTTCCCCAAAAGGGATGTATCTGGCATTTTCCAAGGGTCTTGATAACGTATTTCCAGATATGTACAGGTTACCCAAAAAAGTAACTAAATGCCGTTACTCGTTACTCGCTCAAAAAGTAACTAAGTATGTTAATCGTTACCGATTCTCAAAAGGAACGCGTTGCTTTACCTCAAAAGTAACGAGTTACTTTTCGCGTTGCTTTGACGACCAAATACACAACGTTTTTTTCTATGGTTTTTTGCTTTCTTTTTAGTAGTCGTTGCACTGAAGCAGTAGCTGCCTCTCGAAAGCTTTTATCAGTTATGATTCTCCGCTTCCTTGAAAATACATCTCCGGCGACGCTGCAAAGAGTCGTTCTACCGACGCGCTCGAAGGAACGGCAGCGTTGTGCTACAGGAAGAGCTGGTGAATCTTCGGGAACTGTGCCTTCATTGAGGACATCAGATAATGGGTTATTTGCCTTGCCGTGTTGGCAACCTCCGGGTTTACATTTGGTCGTACCCGTTTCTAGAAGGTTCAAACCAACGAACCTTAAGGCCCGTTCACACTCTTACAACCGAGTACGACCGAGAGAGACGAGACCGGTTTTTAAGCCTCTTGCGACATCTTAGGACCAGCTCCGCTGCAGCGCTTCCGGTCCTAAGAGGTCGCAAGAGGATTAAAAACCGGTCTGGCCTCTCTCGGTCGCAGTCGGTTGCAAGAGTGGGAATGGACCTTTATAGTGTTTGCTGGGTGAAGGACATTCCCAGCTGCAGAGTTCAGTACAGCAACATTTATCGCTGGACACTTCAGTCGAACTGCTCGACAGATGTGTTCAGCGACATACGTTGTTGTGTGTCATACTGTTTAGTTATTTTTCGGGTTGCCCACCTAACGTTTTCGCAATAGGCGCAGGGTAGAATAAAAACAAGGCCGTTTAAGCGGGGTTGTACACGTTACTCCTCAAAAGTACACGAGATACCGTTACTCGCTCCTTTTCTAAAAAAGTAACTATATACTTTACTCGTTACCGAAAATAGTAACTAGTTAGAAGTAACTCGTTACTTGTAACGCGTTACGTACATGACTGCGTATTTCCAAAGAACACACCAATGGTTCTGACTATAATTTTTTTTTCACCCCTTTTCTGTACTCTGCCTGTCATAATACGTCAACGCCCTTGGATACGGTCATCCAGATCACTTGTGCAAAAGAACCGTAGGGTGTTTGCAGATAGCTGGGCCGACCATATCCGGATACCATTTTTAACTAAAAAGAAATTATAAACTCAATGCTTATTAAAAAGAAAAACCGAAGCCTGTTTTGCGAAAAAAAATTTTGTCTTTCCAGAAAAGAATCAAAAGCACGCTCTTAGTGCGAAGCGCTTCTTGCGAATTGCGCGAAGTTAGCATCTCAGACACCTATCCCAAAAAAGGTGTTGTGGCTACCGGTCTATAAATGTTTACTGGCAAACAACGTATAAGGAGGATTGACTCAAAATACAGGGTGAAAAAAGGAGACGCCAGGCTCTTTAAATCGACCGGAAAATTCGGTTTCTTAACCTATCGCGCTAAGAATTTCTGCAGAGTTGCCCACAGATGGTGCATTTTTTTTTGTAAAATTTGCAAAGAGCGAACTTACCTGAGGAAAAAATAAAGAAAGAAAAAGGCTTAGCTCCTATGGAAACGCACCGACGCCACCGGTCTGCAAACAACACGGCGCCGTTTCGCACGGGAGACAAGAGATGGCGCAACAAACGCCGCCAACGAACGAGCATACGGCGCCGAGAGCAGGCCTTTTTAGCAGACGATCTTTTCGACTCAAAAGTGGCGCGCGTTCCGCAGGCGGCGACAGTCGCAGAAACAAAAAAGACAGGCGTGGTAGCAACAAGGAGCTGCAGTTCCCTGTCTGCAAAAGGGCCGGCTCTCGGCGTCGTCTGCTCGTTCATTGGCGGCAGTTGGCGTCGCGACCGGTTGCGCCATCTCCACCCGACATGGTCGGCCGAACTTATCTGAGAACACCCCACATCCATTTCACTCGTGGAGGGAACCGGATCCATCGTTTTAACTACTTCACGCACATCACAGCCCACGCACCGCTACTATGAGAACCATCGGCGACGGCAGAGCTGCAAATGAACACCCCCACATTCCACCGCGCCGCGGCGCAACGCCTCCTAGATAAGAAAGCCGTAGTGCTGGATGAGATGGTGTCATCAGAGAAGGCAAAAGCTGGGCACACATCGGACACGACGATTGCAAACTTGACTCGAAGCCGAACGCTGACGCAGAACTCGTTTCCAATCTGTGTCCAGCGTTGGTCTTTTCTGATAAAGTCCTCTCATGTAGAACTACGGCCTTGCTATCTAACAGGTGTTGCGCGGCGCCACCTCCTCCCTAGCTCCGCGTCAGCTATGCGCGTGACATGGCCCAAAACGAAAGGGCTCGTTTTGACGAAAGTCCGGCGGTGTCTGTCAGTTTGTCAGCGCCGGGGAGAAAGGGAGAGGTTGACGCGAGCTGACGTCAGGGCCGAAATATTTTAGGACGTGCTTTAGTTTGACGGCTGGCTCGGCTCGTGATGCGTGCCGCAAAACGTTCGTAAGATGCCCCGCCGCGATTCGGGGGACTTGGCATGCAGTCCGGCATTGCGTATTCATAACCGCCAAACTAGAAGTTAATCAAGCAGCCAAGCTTGTTGATGAGCACGCGAGTGAGCTACACGCGTGCACGCTCAGGAGAAACCTCGACTCGAGGACAGCAGCCTCTGTCGCTGATTAATAACAGCGAGCGAGTACTTTGTCCCCCAGTCAGAATCGAGAAGAAGCACTTATCCTTCAAACTGTAAAAGAAAAAAAAATGTCAAGAGAAAAAATGAAAGACGTTTAGAAATCTCTGAAATGCGAAATTCGAGCGCAGCTCTTGAGGAGGAAGAGGGGATGGTACGGAGTGGAGGATATGTCCCTTCTCCTACCCTCCTCCACCTCCTCTCTCCTCCTCGTCCTCTCCTCCTCTCCTCCTCCTGACCTAAACACCAATTCAGTTTCCCCGCTAAATTTAGTTGGGGAAAATGACGTCACATGACTTCTTGCTACGTCACCCATGAACAAATTCAGTTTCTCCACTAGATTTAGACGGAGAATTGACGGCATCTGACCTCAACACCAATTCAGTTTCCCCGCTTAATTTAGCGGGGGAAATGACGTCACATGACTTCGTGTCACGTCACCCATGAACACATTTCAGTTTCTCCGATAGATTTAGGGGGAAAATTGACGTCACGTGACCTCAACACCAATTCGATTTCCCGCTAAATTTAGCGGGGCGATTACGCTGACGGCGACGCCGCTATTCGCGGAAACGGGCGCCTAAGAGCTGCGTTCTAAAACAAGGAAAACACAGGAGAGTGTCCACAAAACCGCTTCTAAACCAGTGTTGAACAAAATGCTCGATAAAAGTATCTACGTTAAGTTACTAAATACCTGCTTCATAGAGTATTTAAAATATTATTGAAGTTACTTTCACTGTAAAGTATCTTCAGTAGAGTACAAATACTTAGATATGTAATTCAATTGCTTTTGAAGATACTTCCGCATTGCGTAATCTGATCGACGCCAGTGACAAACACAGGTATACAGTTGAGCAAATCTGGTTTACCAGAATGGTTTATTAGCACGGAACAGCAGAAAAAAAAAAACGGTAAAAACCAAAAACAAAACAACAACAAAAAAACATCGTGATGTTTTTTTTGTTCTTTTTTTTTTTTTGAAGACCTACCATAATGAGCAGGATATCAGCGATACGTCTTACAAAACATTTCTGGGACAAGAAAAAAAAAATTGGTTCTTTCAGCTATAGTGACATTGTTGAATAATTCATATTTTCTATATGAGGAGTTCACTATAAACGAACTTGGAATACGGAAATGAGTGAATGGATAACAAAGAGTGACCTTATAATATACACCCACGGCACTGGCCGCCTTTCTTCAGGTAGGTTGCGTTCAGAAAAACACAGAATGTTGGGGTACGCTTTGTTGGCATCTTGACAGGTCATCCTGCTCACAGTTCGTTTCCTGTCCTGTTTTCTGCTTATCAGTGCTCGCTTAGAGACAATGTTCATTCAAAGAAAAATGCCGGACTGACAAAAAACAAATCTTGACATTTTGACACAGCGAGGCTAAATATACAACCAGCAAAGAAAAATTGTCTTTTGTTTTATGTCCACTTTCATTTTCTTCTATTTGTTATTTATTTCACACTGAAGTCTGCAATGTTGCCGTGGGGCGTTTCCCGTTCCGCGTTCCGCTTCAGTGTGGCAGTCTTTACTTCCGTAAACCCGGAAATGTACGTAACGTATTACAAGTAACGAGTTACTTTTACCTAGTTACCATTTTCAGTAACGAGTAACGTATTTGGTTACTCTTAAGGCCAAGTAATGAGTAACGGTATCTCGTTACTTTTGAGGAGTAACGTGTACAATAACGTTTAAACAGTCTCGCTTTTATTCTAACCTGAGTATGCGTCTATTGCGAGAACTGTAGGTGGGCAACCCGAAAAACAACTAAAGAGTATGACAGTACAGCCACGTATATCGCTGAACACGTCAGTCGAGCAGTTCGACTGACGTGTCCAGCAATAAACGTTGCTGTACTGAACTCTACAGCTGGGAATGTCCTTTACCCAGCGAACACAATAAGGTTCGTTGGTTGAACCTTCTACTTCTGGAACCGGGTACGGGCCGAATGTGAACCCAGAGATTGCGAAAACGAGAAGGCGCATAACCCATTACCCG